GCCCAGCCCGGGCCCCGAGGCGCTTTGTGTTTGTTACTGTTTGGTGTGTTGCGCTCGCGAGGCGATCAGAGAGACAAGAATTACATCTTCAAAATGAGTCATAACTCCTGACCGTATGAGGGAATGCACACGGCGGTACAGTAAGACTGCTTCACCCAGGGCTAGGCAGACCCTTTTCTCCGAAAAGTCCTCAGCCCGGTTCGAGAACTTGGGGTGAGGCGAGGCTTTCTTTCCCTCTCATCTTTTCTCACACCCCCCCCCATTCCCAAGAGGAAAGAAACAAACAAACAACGCGAAACAGCCTCTGGGTAAAGTACACTCGGGTAAATTGATAATAGTAATTATGGGAAGCCCACTCGCCCCTCACCCCCTCCCCTCCTCTTTGGAGTTTATCGAGGCACTGTCTCTTCCTCTCCCCACCTCCGCCCCCAAATTGAGATTTCCCATTTTACGCAGCCATAAGAAATATAATTATAAACCTCTTTGGACACTGCCCCCCCACCACTACTTCGACAATATTTACTTAAATATCTCCCCCCACTCCACTCACACACATGCTCCCTCACACCAGTTCCCTTAAATAGTTCCAGCAGAAAAAAAAGTGTGTGTGTGTGTGTGTGTGTGTGTGTGTGTGTGTGTGTGTTTCCCTCGAGAAAGGAAAGAGAAAGTCCAACCACTACGGCAGTACTTTTAAGCTCTACTGAAGGATCGTATCCTTTCTGGCTTCGAAACTTTTGTACCTAAAAATCGAGAGAGGCGCTGCATTTTTTTTTTTTTTTTTCTCAGTTGAAACTGTCAAAACTTGGAGAAGGGGAACCGCGGAGGCAGGCAGGAGAAGAGAATCCTGAAACTCAGCGGAGGTTGGGAAGATGCTGTGCCTCCAGGATTAGTTTAAACAGGGGGCTATAAAAGATGTAACAGATGCAAACTGTAACACAAGGGCCATTAACCCTTTCCCTGCCGCAAAGCTTACTCTGTCCCCACGCCCCACACCTATTGTCTGCTGTGCTAGAAGCTTTGCGGAAAACCTGGAAAGTGAGTATCAGTTTCCACACATTTGCTGAGGGGGTGGGGGTAGGGGCAGAGAGAAGGGGAAGTGGATATTTTAGAAAGCACCTTGAATTTACCTAGGCATACACAGCAGGAGACTTTTAAGTCTGACACATTTTTTTAAAAAAATCATTTTTGCCTGTCCTATTGATTTTAGACTGTTGAGAAAAAAAAGAAAATCCTGAAACAAGCAAATGGGATGAAACAACTGGCCTGTCTTTATTCAGGCTGAGACTTACACACGATTGCATATAAATATATGTTTAATAAAGTAAGTTGGTAGTTTTATGAGCGCGTGTATGTGAGAAGGAGAGAGGGCATTTGTGCTGTAAACTTTATCTCTGGTTGTTATTCCTAACTCTGGAGTAAGTAATCTTGCCCTCATCATTATAGGGGGAGCATGTAAAATATATAAGTAGGTGGGAGATAAACACACTGATGTTAGTCGGGCTCACCACTGTTCTTGGGAACTCCTATCTCTCCCTTGACTTTTCAGTGCCATAGTAAGAGATGGTTCTGTGTGTGTGTGAGTTCCTATTAAACCCATGTCCACATTACTTTGCTATTTAAAATATGATTTCAAAAGTTAACCTAATTTAAAATCCTGATATCCTGACAGCAGTTTTCTTCCCAGCTGTAGTGACCCCCCCCCCAGACACATACACTTTGGTAAACGACTCAAGTTCCATGAGGACTTTCACTTCTTTATTTATAATCACAGAAGTGAGGTGTTACTTCACGCACATATATACACAAAGAATGAAATAAAGAAATGAAACTCGCTAAGCAGACAAAAACAGGCAACTTTCTGCTTAGAAAACAGCCTGCTCCGTTGGAAGAAGATGGGCTGCTGTACTAAGAGAAAGACTTACCCCTAAATTTGATGGGTCTGTATATATCCAGCTTTGTAATTATTAACAGGTATTTGCCAAGTTTTAATGGCTGAATATAATGAAGAGAAACTAGATGAGAAAATACAGCAGAGGCTCTCCCCTTGGTGAGTTTTTATTCCAGCCATACAGTTCTCAATAAAACTTTTGCCACACTGGGTAGCAAAAGCACCTTTGGTTACCTGAATGAACAGGTACAGGCCAAATTATTTGGGAGAGGGAAACAGGAGAGAAAGGGAAAGAGAGAGCGAGAGAGAGAGAAAGAGAAATCTAAGAAGCCACTCTTGGGAAAAGCATGCCATGAAAGAGCTAAACCCACCTGAAATGCCTACCCGCAGACACCCCTTCTCACTTCAGACTCACAGCCTCACTCAAAATGAGAAAATTAGAAAAGGAGGACGGGGGACGAGCACACCCAAAAAGGATAAAAAGAGAAAAAAAAAGGGGGAAAAACCTACCTGCGAAGTCTTGTTTGTAGTTTTGGCCAGAAATGGTGAGAAGAAAAAGCATGAAGAAGCCGCGAAGTGTGGGGGAGAAAAAGGTGGAAGCGAAGAAACAGCTCCCGGAGCAAACTGTGCGAAACCTCCCCAAGAGTGTCGGGAGGCAGAACCGTTATTCCTGCGGAGCAGGTTAGAACTGATCTCTTTCGGCCACTCCAGGAAACAAACCTGGGGACGGACTGACGTGTTACGCCTCTTCTAATGACATTTTTTTCTTTTTCTTTTCTGTAGGAGAGACCCTGAAACACGCGCCACCTATCTTTGTGGGGAGGGATAATTGAAGCGCCCTGAGCGTGAGCATCATGTGAAAACGTGATCGCCAAGTTTCTCTCTGGGAAAGGATCTGGGATAGATTATACCTTGAAGTCTCCGCAAACGCTTTAGTGGAAGAAATGAAATTCCACCTCCCTCCCTTCCTCTCTCCCTCCCTCCCTTCTCCACGCCCCCCCCCACGTCAAGCCTCTGGCATCATTATCCTCAGCGCTAAGTCCTCAGAGTGCAGGGCGGAAAGCGTGCACACCATTCACAGAACTGGAGAACTCCAAGGCTAAAGTTAAAGGCAAAGATCCTGGGTCCTCACTCTAGACCTCCTCTTATACACGTATCTCTAATGAACAGATTTGAGATGCACATCAAGTTGTGTGGCTATCTCAGCATGGCTTCTGGAATTCAATTATTTGCTCTTTCTCCTACTTATTTATTTTTATTTTTAGATGCTAGAGCTGATGGTGGGGAAATCTACATATGAACTGCATCATAGGGCGTGTGTGTGTGTGTGTACGTGTGTGTCCGCTCATGTGATGAATTTCTGAATTGGATCCCGATATTAAAAAGTACTTTGGCATTTTAATAAAAGGTCTCTAAGTAAATTAGAGCACTGGGCTGACCAGTCTCTGGATCTCTCTACATCTCAGAGACCTCACTACAAAGTGAGGGAGTCTGTACAGGGATACAGGAAGAATAAGGAGAAAGGCCATAGAGAACTTAGCAGGGAAGGGAGAGAGCACGATATTAAACGGCATGGGGTCTAAGTTTTGGAGTATATATTTTTTTGATATTGCAATTAAAGTAAAATTAAAAAGAAAAGACTCCACCTTTTGCTCTGAAGGGATTGGTTATGCAAATATGGAAGGGATTTCCTGGAGAATACAGCTTTCTACTGTATGGTTAATTAAATAATCACTCAAAAGCTTCCAACGTGACGCTTCTGTCGTAATCCAATCAGGTTACATAGGTCCTAAACAAGAAAGATATTTTCCACATCTGGAAGTCAGCAATTTAGCAAGTACTGCACATTATTAACCAATTCAGAGCCCACTTCCCTGGGGAATTTTTTTTTTTTTGAAGTTTAAGTGTTCTTAACCAATGCTCTGCTGTTTTGTTAATCAAAAAGCTGGTTTACACTGCACATAATTGGAACTAATATAGAAGTAAATAAAGACAGCCAAATTTGAGGATGCTGAGCACAGGCATTTATCGGAAAAAGAAGAAATCTCTTAGCCTCTGATGGTTCAGGCTCAATTTCTTAAAGTACTGTGAGGCCTTTTTTCTTTTCTTTTCTTTTTCTAAAGAGTGAAAGTGTTTGAGAACCTCAGAGCACAAATAAACTTCCAATTGCACAGCCTTTGAGTTCCCTTGGAAAGGTAGAGGTGGAGGTATGAAGAGGACCAAAATCTTGCCTTATACCAAATTTTCTGCTTTATCTTGTTAAATATACTGCAGCCCCCTATTTTTAGTGTGAAGAGATCTGAAACAAATAATACCCTGATCCAACACTAGACTTTTACTTATATTAAGATAAACTGCTTTGAACTGTGCTTTGAATGTGTGCCTAAAGCAAGACTTTGAATGCAAGAGTCACTGGCAATTGCATTCAAAACAGGGAAAAGCCACCACACGGATTGCCACATCCACACTCCCAGAGGTACATGTTCTTTGTTTTTTTTTGTATGTTTATTTTTTTCAGGGGGGTGGGGGGGCAACAGCCACTGAGCATAACCACAGCTAGCTCTAGTTTTAGGATGCAAGAAAGTAGATTTTCACAGTTGGTTACAGACTCACCTCTTTCCTAATTTGAGTATTTATTACAGTGAGAACTGGTGGAAAATTAATCTTTTGCCTACCCCCATCACAGATAAAGTATCTATAGAAGATCCATAGGTACAAGAGATCTTCAAAGTAAAAATATTAATAAAGAAAATTAAAGATCTTCAACATGGATCAGTCACATTTTAGTGTTTTATTTTACATTGCATTTGCTATTAAATATCTACCCTAAATATATGTATGATTTATCAAGTTCCTACTCAGGTATTTATCACCATTCATATTCTGCTTTTGGTGCTCCTCCTTTTTTTCCCCTTCTGCATTAAAAAAATAAGAGTTAAGTTTTTTTAAAAGCTTTCCTTTCAGGCATCCCTCTCCAGTCCTGGGAAGGAGACCACTGCCTGATTTAGGCAAGACTCCTCTTCTGGTGACCAGGTAGCCCCTGGGGGTTTACAGCCCAAACCCAAATTCACAGGTGTCACCACAGGTCAGAGGATCCACTCCAACAGCAGACAGAACACCAGGCTTTATTACATATACTAAAATACTAAATGCCCTGTTATTTAGGATCAAACTTAAAATACTAGTAAGTATTTCCCTTACAAACACCTAATCATCTGATTACCCTGGGAGCAGTAATGTTCAAGTGTCAGAAGGCAGCCCCCAACATTTAGCACTAAGGGTACTGACAGGCGAGTATTTGGTGTGTGTGTGTGTGTGTGTGTGTGTGTGTGTGTGTGTGGTTTGGG